ACAAAAGAGCAAACTGGATTTGCTGTCTTATAGTAATCTGCTCAGGTAGATGAATGTACAACCTTCTGATCCAAAGCCGTACATCATCAGATGTTTCACGTAATATAAGAAACCCCAGCCCCGAGAGCTGGAGTAACTGGACTCAGAGCCGTGGGTCGCAGCAGTCCTAGAACCGGAGGGGCTGGTGTCCACACTGAGCCCAAAGCCCTAGGTAGGAGCCTGATCGGGACTCACACATCATGCCCTACCTGCTCATCAGCACCCAGGTCCACACGGAAGTGGGCCCCACCCCAGTGGGTGATGAGCACTCAGCTCCAGAGCTGATAGAGTATCTGGGGGCCTCACAGAGAAGTGTCTTGGGAAACAAAACTTTTTTGAGTACTTCATCGGTGGCCCTCCCCGCATGGTCCTGGACAAGCTGGAACATGTGCTGAGCATGACAGAGGTGGGCCAGATGCTGGTGTGGTGCTTGCACAGCGACTAACTCTCTCACACTTAGGAGCAGACGGGGCTCCCCTTTTTTGTATGATTCCCAATCCTGAGCATCTGTTCACTCACTGTCCAGCCCCTCTCTTCCCAAATCGTCATTTTCCTTTGCCCAGCACCACTGGGCAGTGAATGGCCTTTTCTGAAACCTGCCTCAGCCAGTGGGAGAGGGCAGGGCCCTTGCCTTGGGGCTTCTAGTTGCCCCTCCAGTTTCAGGCCTGGCCAAGGGCCTTAGAGGAGGTCATGATCTGTGGGCAGGCTGAGGGGCCCACAAGAGCTAGGCTGTCCTTGGCCAGCAGCTGGGAGACCCCAAGGAGCACAGTTCCAGGATTGGGTGGGAGGGTCCTGCATAGCTAGTCCAAGCCAATAAAGGGCTGTGATGAGTGGTTGCTCAAAAAAAAAAAAAAAAGAAAGAAAGAAAGAAAGAAACCCCAGCCCTGAATGGCTACATGGGGCATACAATTTGTCAAAATTCACACGCAGTACTCTTAAGATTTGTACTTTACTGTATGTTCATTTTGCTGTGCTTCAATAAAGTATTATTAACAACAACAAAAATCCTAGCCCTTGTGAACAAATGAGTCAAAGAATCGCCACTTGGGGGTTTATTGGGTTGGTAGTTCAGAGAAAACTGTTGTTTTGAGAAGACAACACAATGTAGACTTTCTGCAAAAACTTGCTCTTTGGAAACCATCACTACAGCATGTGTTTTTGGTTAAGCATTCCACGGCTGAAACGCAACTCTATGCTGAGATGCCGAGAGGATGAGGCAAAATCTTGGCCAAGGTCAAGCTCTGCTGATGGTCTGAGACGGGGACGGCAGCCAACTGCTCTGCACTTGTATGACATTTAAAAAAGAAAAACTAACCCCAAGCCATCTCTGTCCCTTTTTGGAGCCAACATTAGTCCTGCTCATTGTATCCAAGAACTCAGAGGAAGCCGCATGTATGTGGCTACATCTCAGGCCTACCAAACCTCCAGGGCCCATACATACATCCTTTGATTAAAAAAAAATAAGCTAGCTTGCTGGGACTCTAGTTGGCTCTATGGGATATGACGAAAGATGTCAGAATTTTAGATGAAGTTAGGGTTCATCTATCAGAGGGCAGAGAAATACACTTTAGCCTCCCTTTTGGCTATCCGGTTACTTTTTTTGGAACTACAGCAACAAAATGACCCTGATTTGGCAGAAAATGGGGGCTCGTGTCTACATCTGGGTGATTATTATAAAAAGTGCTGCAAGTTTAGTATATTGGGTCTAAATCTGTGCTAAACAAAGAAAAGCCAATATACCAACACCCTCTTTGGGACTGAAACTAAGCACAAGGACGAACTGGGAAATGTATTTTCTGTCAGGTCATAGGGAACAGATATATAAACAGAGCAATGCCTTTTGGCAGCTTATAAAATATAAACTACATTTTGCACATGTCTGTCTTACTGATGGCCAAAGGTAAAAGGGACAAAGTCCAAGGCCAGTCAGGGTTATACAAGATGCAGGCCCCAGAAACTTCCCAGTCTCCCTGTGAGTTGATCATGTCTTAGGACTTATGGATGGATAACAATGTGCTAACACTGGATCCCTCAAAAAGGCAGTCATGACAACATAAAAAAAGAGAATATTTTTAACTTACTGGTTTAGTGTTTTCCTTGTAAAGTACCTAATTCTATTCAGTCCTCTATAGTATAGTCTTAATTTCTCCTATCCTTAAAATGAGAAACACTCACTCCTTTTTTTCTCAAAATCTTCCCATCTATAATATTTGGCAAACTTGCCTCATTTCCATTCTGTGCTTATCCCTTATTAAACCTTACAGAACTAGCAATGCGGTTGAAGATAAACATTTCTCTTCTTTCTTTGTTGTTAAGTAGTGAACTAAGTAGGAATGTGAGTTCCCTAAGGCCACACACAGCACATCTCTGGTGAGAACTGTATTTTGACCCCAGGTGGAACACCAGGTGGAGGAAGCAGGCTTCTCTCTCTAGTCAATGAGGCCAGGAGGACATGGTGTGGCATCCTGCTTCCCTCATTTCCCCCCTTTCCGTGCACAGTCTCCATTCCCAGAGCCGGGGGCGGGATGAGGGTGTTCAGCGAAGCAGAAGGTACACAACTCCCAAGGGAAAGCACCACATAAGAAACAGTGGGATGTATTGCAGAATGCTACAGCTAGGAGGGTCCTTACAGCACATCTAATCTCGACTTCTAACTTTATTGGTAAAGAAAGCAGCCCAGAAAAGTTAAGTGATTAGTCCAAAGATACACAGCTAATGGCCTGAACCAAAACCTAGGTCACCAGCCTGTTTCTCTGACCCTCCAACACACGACAGAACTGAGTACAGGGAAAAGCAAAATAGAAAGCGAAGTCCATGGGCTACCCCCATCAACCCATGAACCAAATAAACATACCTCTTTTAAAACTACCTATGTCTTAATCTCCCATTTCTTTTCAGCTGTTAGCTTACTAAGCTCAAATGTTTGGTTCTTATCCAGGACTTAACGGATACCCTGGTGGCCTGAACAGTCAGAATCCCAACTCTGCCCCAGCATGTTGAAGCCTGAAAAGGGAGATCTTTGGGAAGCAGGAGTAGAATATAAGTAGGCTCTCCAACTCAGGAATATTCTGGACCACACACCATGCTTATAATAATGCTGACTCCAAACTCAGCAGCTTTTGGAGCTTATGCAGGCAGAAAGGCAACAGACTACCCACTTAGCGAGAGGAAAATGCAAGAATTAATAAGTAAGGAAGCTAAAAGGAGGGCAAATGCTTTGGGTTCAGTCTGGAAGGTAGGAAATTATCTCCATTCAGAGCAGAAAATGACCTTGTAAGGCAGTGTATACTATATTTGAAGAGGATACCACCCAGGATTCGTGAACTAGGTCCTTTGACATTCCCTATTCCTATGCAAAGGAAGTCAGTTCCTGATTATCCCCCAAATGATTACCCATTTGGTTCAGTTACCCACAGTGTCTAGGGACCTCCAACAAGGTGGGCCACAGACAGACCTGGTTAGATGGAAATAATAGTCTAATGTACTTCCCACCTTCCCAAATCACATGCCGGCACTACGGCAAGGGCCTCGGTGCCTCAAGCAAAGGGGGGTGACTAACGCATCTCCTAGCAGGCTGGTGGGCTAGGTCATTTGAACAAGTAAGCTACCTGGCTGCCTGTAAGCCCTGCGCCATCACCTGACGCGAAACTGCTCCAGGGCTGGGGACAGGCAGAAGGTATAAGACTTCAGCATGAGGAGGTAACTTGGTGAATAGCTAATGTATATCGCTGAATTCCAAAGCAAATGTATTCTGGGGACCATGTATTATATTTACGTTATTCAGATCAAGAGTTCATTGTAACAAGGTCATTCTTACACCCTCTTTCAGCTTATCTCACCCAAGAAAAACGGATTCCCACTGAATTCCTGAAGGATCAGGTACTCCAAAAATGGCCACTGAGCAACAGAAAAGACAAAAGATCAGAAAGAAGGACCCTTTTAAAATATGTAATAATTAGTAAACTAGCAAACCAAGAAACTGTCTTCTTTAAAAGTAAAAAGTGATACCTCTCATGACGGTGAGACATGATGAAGAAAAAAAAAGGAGGAAAGGATAAATGAATGAATGAACAACTCAGAGAGGTAAGGTAAACTAAGAATTTAGATTATAGTCAAAAGTTAGGGCCGCACACTAACAGGTAGAAGAGGAAGCTGAACAAAAGCTCTTTCTGCCTGCTGGGTTCTTAAGAGTCTAAAATGAGGGATTAAAATGGCTTTATTTCAACAGAACACATTTGTCATCTGATCTCCATCCGTGACATGGATAAGAATAAGTAACTTATGGCTGCACTCTTAAAGAGCAACAAATCCCTGAATATTGTGCCTTGTTCACTTTAGGACAGCAAATCACCGATTGCTTGTGTATCGTACACACAAAAAAGATCTGTCTGTAACTTTTATTTTACGTTTTTATTTTAAAATAAACAGTGTTTCCAAAAAACATTGGCTACAAGGGGAAATGAGTCAGTAAAGGATGGGAGACAAAGGGGAAGCAGAGAGAAGACTCTAAGCCTAGAAACACAATGACGGGGGCACATTCAGCGAGGCCCTTGCCATGACCCTGTCCTCTCACTACCGCTCACATGGAGGCTCAGCAAATGTACTGGGACACGAGCTTAAGGGTTAGAGAGAACCGTTCCCTTGAAATAAAAGGTGGTATCAATTGATACTCACTCCAGCAATGTGAGCCCCCTCCGCCCCATCCAACTTCTAGGATTCTATCCTAAGTAAATTATCAAAGATACAGTCAAAGATTTATATAAAAGACAGTTCATCACAGCACCACTGACATTAACAAAGGATCTGAAACAACCAGAATTTTCAACAGTGTGGGAATGGACACCTAAAATATGGTAGAGCCACTAGAAATCTACTTTCAAAGATTAGGGGCACAGGAAATTAATTACTTGTGGTGTGGTACCATGTTAAGTGAGGAGGAAAAAATAGGATGCCAACCTGTATTTATATATGACTCTGAATTTTATTTGTATTTTATGCATTTTTAAATAGTGAAAGGAAATTCATGGACATACCAGCAAAGTTAGCTCTTTTCTAAACAGAGGGAAGATGGATGGTTTTTATTCCTTCTTTAGACTCATTTCTAATGAACATACATTGCTTTTCTTTTTTTTTTTCCTATCGGCAAAACACAATAATTAGCTCTTTTATAATATGCCTTCCCTAAAATATCTCACTTGAGGTCACCATTGTCAGTCTTGAGGAAAGGGTGCTAAAGGCTGACTCAGAGAAAGTCAAATCTACACAGTAACTTCTGAGAAGGGTGAGAAATCTCATGTGCCAGTCTAGCTTCTTTCTCTACGGTGGCTGCTGGCTCTGTTACTGGGCCTTGCAGGAAGCTCTGTTGGGGAATCCATTCCTTCTTCCCACAGCAACCACTGCACCTTTACATAAGCTCGTACGTGCTTCTCCCCTCTTAGCATGAGGATCACGGGGAAAGAGAATGAAAGCACCCTACTCCCTGTTTCAGAGGAAGTTTTCTTGTAACCCTATCCAAATGACCCAAAATCAGCTACACAGATTTGGAAATATAAGTCACCAGTTATGTTCAGGAACCATATATAAAAGCCCTATTTCTCAAGAATGAATATAAAACAAAATCTGTGAGTGCCACCTTGTGGCAAGCCTGACTACTCCAACGACCACCCAGCAGTCTCCAAGGTTCACCCTGGACTCCAGAGCGTGGGGTCCAGCCACTGAGGCACACGCCCACAATAACCTACCCCACTGAACATACGGTCCCTAAGGCGGCTGGTACTATTCATTTTCAAGGATCTCTAAGTTTAGGGCCCAGAAATGCCTGTTTGAGGACAAGAGGGAATGAAGGGGCGTAAGAACAAAATGCACCTTCGTTTCCGGACCATTCGCTGATGGGCTGAAGCTGCGCTGTGCGTGGTATGTCTGCACGCACGTCACACCACTGCCACACGGCAGGGACCTGAGGGATGACTATCTCCTCCCCCAAGAACAGTTACCGATTTTATAAAGCTGTGAAGAAAAAAGTGTTACATTTACAATCAGTGAACTTTGTGCTTAGAAGAAGTTTTATTTATCAGTGTTAGAGCAAACCATCACCAACTTGGGCACAATTTCAAAACAGCTCCTGTTGGATTCTGGCCATAAAACTGTTTAAGTTTGTTAGTCATCTTGTAAAAAAGCTCTCCTCATACTTGAGAAAAAATACTAATCACTAATAACTTGCTTTCATGCTCAAAGTGGTGGCTTCACATAAAGAGATGAAACATCACCGTTTTGAACATCTAAATATATGAATTAATCTCAGAGTCCCAGGCATGAGAGCAGGTGGAGAAATCCTCACAATGCAATCTAACCAAAGGACTCCAAGAGACAATGAAGTGTTGAAAACAGGTCAGTATTACAAATCTGAAGGAACACAGAACCCGGAAGGGACCTGACACTGATTCTGAAAGAAGAGAATCTTCCTCTCAGAAAGGGATTCAGCTAAAAACCCTGCACTTCTGGACAGGAGGATTGCAACGAACAGACAATGAAAGGGAACGCGGAGCAAATATCAAAGTTTTCTTGAGAGATGGTGCTTGTACTTCTCTCGGCCCCACCCAGTTAGAAGGCCTATTTCCAGAAAAGGATTTCCTCCAGTGTTAGGGTGGAAGCATATGGCAGGAAGTCGCTGCTTTGGTCCTGGACGTGTAAAGGGGGACATTCTCAAGTATGGAAATAAACTGAAGTGACCTAGATGGGATGGATCTCAACCAGGTGAGTTGTGGGAGAGCATGAAGCCAAGGAATTTACAATTATGAGCTTGAACCGGGAAAATGAATCTGACTCCTTGTTCACCTCTCCAACCTCTGCAAGAAAGTTTTCTCCCGTCCTCACCCAATGGGATTAAAATACTTGGCTGCCCCTGTTTGAGAAAAACCAACATACTGGGCAGGGAAGAAATGTATTAAAAACCTGAGCACCTTGACAAGTCACCTCAGGGGAGAATCCTTCATTTGCTGTCTGCACAGGGAAAGCAAAAGAAGGAAAGCAAAATAAAGGCCAAGGCCCTTTTGTCCACGAAAATAAAATAAGAGGGAGGCAAAAAGAATTCTCACCCTGCCCAACTAAAATCCACAACCATACGCTCCCCTTGAAGCAACAGCCTGGCTCCACCAGAAGCATCCTGGGATCTGCGTGGGTTGGCATTCCACGTTGTGACACTGGGCTCTGACAATTAATGACACGGGAAGAGGTGACTTTCCCGCCTTGGCTCAGCTTCCTGGCCGTCCTCACCTGGGAAGAGAGCGGCTGTCACGACAGCTTGATGGGAAGGTCTTCCCCATATCTCCGGAGCAGCTTCTGATGGTTGTGGTCCACGGACCACTGCTGGGGCAGGTGCCTGGGCTGCATGGAGTCCAGGAAGTGCTGACGCCAGCGGCTCTCCAGCTGCATGAGGGAGCGCAGCCCGCCCCGGCTGTGGCACCGCACCACCCTCAGCCCGTGGGGGACGTAGTTTTCGTTGGAAATCCTGGCAAGACACAAAGTACAGGGGTCTGAGGGAGGCAAGCACGGCATGGTGGCGCAGATGGCTCCAAATGCTGCGGGCCACGGGGCTTCCACAGGGCAGATGAGGAGGTGGCTAGACTTCTAAAGGGTTGATTACATTAATGCTTAAAAAAAAAAGATTTTATTTATTTACTTGAGAGAGAGAGAGCACGGGCAGGAGGCGGGAGGGGCAGAGGGAGAAGCGGACTCCCCGCTGAGCAGGGGCTCGCTCCCAGGACCCTGAGACCATGACCTGAGCCGAAGGCAGACGCTTAACGGACTGAGCCACCCAGGCGCCCCCTACTTTGTTTTTAAAGCATCTTTCCTACATCTGCCTTTTTAAAGAAGTAGTTTGGACATACTGCACACAGTCCAACAGAAAGGTGTTTGGGGATTCTGAGCTGTATTTGTGGGAAGGCCGCTGCAGGCTGCTCAGCCCCCACTCCAGGGGCCGTACTGTCTGGCTGACAATGAGTGAAGAATGTCGTTGGTCTTTTATTTCCTCCAGGGTTACTCAGGTACCAGCCCGCCCTTCTTTTAAGGTATTCATTCTCAACCATACTTAGTATCTATACGGGGCTGTTACATCACCCCACATGTTCCAATGTCTCAAACACTGGAACACTTACACGTAAAATGCAAGGTGGGACATTTCTTTAGTGCCTCCTTCCTCCCAGAAAGAATGCCAAGCCGGCCGGCACAGGCAGTCCAGTCAGTGGTATGGTGATAGCATTCTGTGATGACAGGCGGGAGCTCCACCCGTGGTGAGCACAGCATATCACGTGGACTTGGTGGATCCCTGTTGTGCACCTGAAACTCATGTAACATTCTGTGACTGTGTCAACGACGCTTCAATTTAAAAAAAATATAAATAAAAAAAGATGGGGGCGCCTGGCTGGCTCAGTCAGTAGAACATGCGACTCTTCATCATACAGTCATGAGTTCGAGCCCCACGCTGGGCCTCGAGATTACTTTAAAAAAAAAAATCAACAAATAAAAATCCTGGGGCGCCTGGCTGGCTCAGTCAGTGGAGCATGCAGCTCTTGATCTTGGGGTTGTGAGTTCAAGCCCCATGTTGGGTGCAGAGATTACTCAAAATTACAGTCTTTAAAAAAAATAAAAAAGAATGCCAAACCACATCCATGAGAGACATGTTTTGGTCCCTATGAAATAGTCTGTTGTGCAGCCGGTGCTGTTCAATGGAAGATGAATCCCTGCCTTCTTCCTAACTAAGCAGAGAGACCTTAAAAAGTGCTCTGATGCCCTGCCAACAGTGCTTTCACCTCCTGTGAGTAACGACTACTTTTCTTGAGGAAGCCCCTACCCTATGGACTCAGTTCCCCTCCTTGCATCCATACCCCACTCTCAGTCCTCCCTCTCAATACCCTCTCCCCATTCTAGCAGTGCTAGTGCCCTCTCGGGATCTGCAGCCACTTCACTGCTTAGCTCCCAAGTGTGCCACTAACGTGCCCCCGCAAACAGCTACTCTTCTCGGCCCCAGACATCCAAGTCCAGCATCCCTCTATCCAAGTCAGCAAGGCGATTGGTTAGAAAGGCCTGTGGCTGAAAGGGGAAAGTTTAGTTGTTTTAGCAAATACATCTGGGAATTGGCCAAAGGAACCAGTCTCATTAATTTTTCATCAGACCTTGGTAAGTTACTTAACTTTAACCTCAGGGTAGCGAACATAAAACTTGGAAAATAACATCTATTCTACAACCTCGTAAAATAGTTATAAGGATAAAACTCATTAGTGATGCTTTTTTAACTTCAAAATATTTTAAAAATGCAAGACATAATGCTAGCAGTTACCAGTAAGAAATCTAAATCCTATTTCATAGGGTTGTTAGAAGAACCAATTAAGGTAATTTATAGAAAGTTTATTAGCTTGGTTAAGTAGATGAGGATATCTATAACTATTTGTTTGATAAATGTTTGCTGCTACCTTTAAGATTTTTGGGTCTTGAAACTGTACAGGCCACCAGCATCACTCTCACAGTTTTGTGAACTTATCAGGCCCTAGTACTACTGGAAAAGTGATCATGGGAAGTGAAACTAGAGCAGGTGGCCCAGTCTCTTTCACTCAGCCGTGTACCCATTCATTTCTCAGGACCATCGGCTTCTCATTGAGGAACACTGAATTAAGTCACGAGTTCAACTCTGTACTCATGGGGAAGGAGAGAAAGCAAAGAAGGAAGGAAAAAGGAGAAAAATCATATGAACGGTAAGAGCAATTCTGGCCAATATTCTATTCGGTGGGCCAGGACCCTGAGTGCAGGTGAGACAGCGAACATGAATCCAATCATTGGTCTCAGTTCCCACAGACCTGGGTAAGATAAGACACAAAGCCACAAACGTCGTACTCATGAGCAACTTCAGAGACTCGAGGGTATTTTTTGAGTATTATTTTCATCTCCTGTGCTGACTTTAGGATTTACTTCTGCATAGAATGTCTAAGGCACTGCTCCACTGCATTTGAACTCATCTGCTAATCATGAAAACGACTGGACGTAGATGACCCTAAAGGGTCAAGGACAGAAGGCAAGTCTCCTATGGAAAGGAAATTCTCAAACAGATTCTTCTCTCCCAGCCCTATGGTATTTTAAGGTCTTTTAAGACACTCAATGGGAGAAGAGAGGCTATGCTCTGCACCTAAATGGCTAATGCCCTACCCCCTTCCTGGCAAGCACCCTCACTAAGTAGTCAGGGTTAATGCCACTGGGTTATTCCTCAATCCTTTCTCAGACCAGAACTGTCCACTGTACCTTGTCTCCAGGCCGGCAGCCTCTTGAAGCATTTCATCCGTGACTGTGTCTGTGTTGTAAAACTCTCTGAGTGCTTGCAAAAGCTCCTCCTTTCGATGAGCAGGCAGGCTCTCTGCGTTGAGCAGGGCCCTGGCCCCAGAGCGTACCTGCCGGCGCTCAGGGTCTTCCAGCAGGCGCAGACCCTCCTCGGAGCCAATGGGGGCCTGGAACTCCCTGGCCAGCTGCTGCTTCAGGTGGTTGTCATAGTAGTTAGAGATGGCGTGGCAGGAGGTGCAGAGCAGAAGCACATCGTGCGAGTTGTGGTCCTTCATCTCAATGGGGAAGTGCTTCCGGTACTCATGTGGAATCACGTTCTTCCTGCCAAGCCCACCCAGAAGGCAGTGCTCGTTAGCAAAGGACACAGAACACAGGTAGAGCTAGAAGGCAGGCCACTGGGATTCTCATCTGGGCCTACACAGGACTGAGAAGCCTTGGGCACCACAACCCAAGAGAGATTACATAAAGGCAATACTGCTTCTTCCACTCTTGGCCTACCTACCTAGCTGTGCCTTAGTTTCCTCTCTCCGAGGAGCAAGTTCATACCACCTGCTAGCAAGAGTCAGCGGAGGGCCAAGGCAGGGGAAGGCTAATAACAACTGTGCTCCCAGAAGGACAAGTATCAGAGAATTAAAAAAAAATTCTAATGACCTTTAACATCTGGAAAATAACTCTCTCAAAGCATGTAGCGGGTCCCTCTACTCCTGAAATTTTGGAAGCCTGGTGACCTAAAAAAAGCAAATTTCCTCATCTGAGGAACCCCTTACTCAGACTATGTCCGTGGCTCATCAAGGCCCATCGTTCTTTTCTAAGGAGAACTGAGCTCTCAGTAAAAACTCTTGGCATTCACAACTATTTGTTTCACTTTGTAAGAGGAGAGTAGGAAAGTGAGTTACTCCACTGAAGCCAGGGAGTAGAGCCAAAGTGTGCCTTCAGGTCTCCGAATACAGGCATACCTCATTTTACTGCACTTTGCAGATACTGCATTTTTTACAAATTGAAAGTCTGTGGCAACTCTGCATCAAGCAAGTCTATTGGCCCCGTTTTTTTTCCCAACAGCATTTGTTCACTTTGTGTCTCTGTGTCACATTTTGATAATTCTCCCAACATTTCAAACTTTTTCATTATTACTATATTTGTTATGCTGATCTGTGATCACTATCCTAGGTGTCACTATAGTAATTGTTTTGGGAGGCCATGAACCATGCCCACATAAGACAGCGCACTCAATAGATAAATGTGTGTGTTCTGACTGCCTCACCAACCGGCCATTCCCGTGTCGCTCTCCCTTTCCTCGGGCCTCCTTACTCCTTGAGATGCAATGATATTGATATCAGGCCAGTTAATAACCTACTACAATGACCTCTAAGTGTTCAGGTGAAAAGAAGAGAGGCATGTCTCCCACTTTAAATCAAAAGCTAGAAATGATTACATTTAGTGAGGAAGGCAGGTCGAAAGCCAAGACAGACCAAAAGCTAGGCCTCCTGCTGCAGTTAGCTAAGTTGTGACTGCACAGGAGAAGTCCTTGAAGGCAGTTAAAAGTGCTGCTCCAGTGAACACATAAATGCTATGCAAACCAAACAGCCTTACTGCTGACATGGAGAAAGGTTAGTGGTCTGGACAGAAGACCAAACCAGCCATTCGGTTATCTTAAGCCAAAGCCTAATCCAGAGCAAGGCCCTAACTCTCTTCAATTCTGTGAAGGCTGAAACAGGTGAGGAAGCTGCAGAAGAAAAGTCTGAAGCTAGCTGAGTTGGTTCATGAAGTTTAAGGGAAGAAACCATCTCCCTAAACATCAAAGTACAAGATGAAGCCCCAAGGGCTGATGTAGAAGCTGCAGTGAGTTATGCAGAAGATCTAGCTAAGATCATTAACGAAGGTGGCTACACTTAACAGCAGATTTTCACTGTGGATGAAACAGCCTTCGACTGCAAGAAGATGCCATCTAGGATTTTCATAGCTAAAGAGGAGAAGTCAGTGCCTGGCTTCAAAACTTCAAAAGCCAGGCTGACTCTCTTATTTGGGACTAATGCAGCTGGTGACTTTAAGTTGAAGCCAATGCTCATGGACCATTCCAAAAATCCCAGAGCCCTTCAGAATTATGCTAAATCTACTCTGCCTGTGCTCTCTAAATGGAACGACAAAGCCTGGATGAGAGCATATCTGTTTACCACATGGTTTACTGAATATTTTAATCCCACTGCTGGGACTACTAGGCAGGAAAAAAAACCCACAAAATTCCTTTTAAAATATTACTGCTGGGGGTGCCTGGGTGGCTCAGTCAGCTGAGGGTCTACCTTTGGCTCAGGTCATGATCCCAGGGTCCTGGGACTGAGCCCCATATCAGGCTCCCTCCTCAGTGGAGAGTCTGCTTGTCCCCCTCCCTGTGTCCCTCAGCCCCCGCTCATGCTCTGTGCTCTTTCTCAGATAAATAAAAATAAAATCTTTAAAAAATAAAATATTACTGCTCATTGATAGTATAACTGGTCACCCAAGAACTCTGATAGATATACGAGATTAATGTTCTTTTCAGGTCTGCTAACACGGCATCTATTCTGCAGCCTGTGGATCAAGCAGTAATTTTGATTTTTAAGTCTTATTATTTAAGAAATACATTTCATAAGGCTATAGCTACCATAAATAGAGATTCCTCTAATGGATCTGGGCAAAGTAAACTGAAAACCTTCCGGAAAGGATTCACCATTCTAGATGCCATGAAGAACATTCATGATTCATGGGAAGAGGTCAAAATACCAACAGTAATTAACAGGAGTCTCTAGCCCTCATGGATGACTTTGAGGGGTTTAAGACTTTGGTGGAGGAAGTAACTGCAGATGTGGTGGGAAACAGCAAGAGAACCGGAATTAGAAGTGGAGCCTGAAGATGGGACTGAATTGCAGCCATTGTTTTATCTCATGATAAAACTTAAAAGGATGAGGAGTTGCATCTTGTTGAATGAGCAAAGAAAGAGGTTTCTTGAGATGGGATCTACTCCTGGTGAAGAGGCTGTGAAGCTTGTTGAAATGACAACAATGGATTTAAAATACTACATAAACTTAGTTGACTAGGCCATGGTAAAATCTGAGAGGACTAACTCCATTTTGGAAGAAGTTCTGCTATGGGCGAAATGCTATCAAACAACATCACATGCTACAGAGTAATCATTCATGAAGAGTTAATTGACTGCAGCAAACTTCACTGTTGTCTTATTTTCACCACCCTGATCAGTCAGCAACCGTCAACATCATGGCAATAACCTCCCCCAGAAAAAAGATTACGGCTCACTAAAAGCTCAGATGTGGTGAGCATTTTTCAGCAACAGAGTATTTTTATTCATTAATTATTTATTTTTAAAGTAATCTCTACACCCAACATGTGGCTCAAATTCATGACCCCAAGAATCAAGAGTCACATCCTCTACTGGCTGAGCCAGCCAGGTGCTCCAGCAATAAAGGTTTTGTTTTGTTTTCTTTTGTTTTATATAGAGAGAGTGAGCAGGGGGGGAGGGGCAGAAGGAGATGGAGAGAGAGAAGCTCAAGCAGGCTCCACGCTCAGCACAGAGCCTGACGCAGGGCTGGATCTCACGACCTTGAGATCATGACTTGAGCCAACATCAAGAGTCGGATGCTTAACCAATTGAGCCAGCCAGGCACCCCAGCAATAAAGTATTTTTAAATGAAAGTATATACATTGCGGGGCGCCTGGGTGGCTCAGTCGTTAAGCGTCTGCCTTCGCCTCAGGTCATGATCCCAGGGTCCTGGGATCGAGCCCCGCATCGGGCTCCCTGCTC